AATTTCAATGTGTATGACAAATATAATATAACAAACATTAGACATAATGATTAGGTGACATAATGACCAAATGGTATAAGTACTACCAGTATAATGTATTACACTGGTAGTACTTATACCATTTATATTATTATACAAATGGTATAAGTACTACCAGTACTTATGCCATAATTATTTAGTTTTACGAATAGTTGTAGCGCCCTATATTACGTAGATAAGATTTTTTTTCTATTTTATTACAATGTACTATCGCAAAATATAATTTGTCATAATGTACCCTAACCCAAACCCACAGAAAGAGGTCGAACCAACAAGGAAATGCAAACAAATTAGGTTCATTCACCATTGCACCTAAACACCACTGGAATTATATTAATAATAATTAATAATAATACATTATATAATTAAACATTTTATATGTTTATATAAAATGAACATTATGCCATCGGTATATTAGATTGAAAGTTGTTATATCATAATCAGCTATTATACCCAGTGACCTTTATGTCATGCAAGAATATGGCAAATGTCTGTATATCATAAATTAATTATATCTGTTAAGCGTTATATCGACAAAAATATATTATTTGTTGTTATATATTACCATCGAGTACATAACCAGAAATAGAGACGAAATGTCATTTAATTTGTTTTAAAACTATTCTGCCAAATCATTACGGTGACAACTGCGCTCCAATTGGCCAGCCCGAATTCGAAACAATTGACGGGTGTCGTCAATTGTTTCACTTCAAATCGACCAATTTAACTTGAGTTTTGCTATGATGGACGAAAATTGGAAAATTACAGATTTCATATTTAATTACCGACGACATTTGATTCCGTTTGTTTTGTAATTAGATGTTTTGCTGTTTTTGGCACACCACCGAACGGAACAGCCACCCATTTTTAGAGATATTATCTTTATTACAATAAATACAGAATACTTTTGGAATACACGGAGACGTACACAGGTGACCTGCAGCGCCACGAACTGAGTTGTTGACGCTGTACTATTTCAGCTTTCTAATTTGTGATTTCATTGCAAACGGGAGTTGATTTTTAAAAGTGATATAAGGCTGCCTGATGAGTTGCCAGGGATGGATGGCCTTATTTCATCTCTATTTCTGGTTATATACTCGATGTATATTACGAACCGTACCCATGCTAGGCATTTATGCTTAAATAGGCAAAAGTCGTGAGAGTACAGAAACTTCTACCTTCTATAGAGCTAATAAACTTTAAAGCCAGTAATTGTTTATTCAATATCATAATGTTTTTACTATCATCTTTAATTTGACTGGATTCGAACTTGAAAATTTTAATTTCTATGTTTAAAAATCATGCGTACTCCTGCAAACATACCTCGCGTGACGTCATATTTGAGTATTGATGTTTCTTTTGTCTCTGTGCTGATGCTTACGACTGCTGAATGTAAAATTACAATTATATCGGATCAGGACCCCGATTCAGAACTCTTCGATATTTTAACCGAATCGCTCGATTGGATATCGTTCTCGAATCGAAAGCGCTTTCAGAGCTTTTCAGAACATCTGAGTTAAATGTTCGATTCGGATACGATATCGTTATCCAACAGCGTTTACGGAGTTAGTCGGTGAAATAGATTATAAGAAAAATCTAAATGCTTTTATACGCTTTAAAATATAGGAATGCATTAGCCTTGCATTAAAATAAATTAATAAAATTGAACAAGGTCCAGACATTATTTGAAATAATAACAGATTTCCATATTACATTCCTCGTTTGTAAACAATAGGAAGTTCGGAAACTTTGTAGCCTTTGCCGGTCGAGAAGTTCGAGTAATTAGTAATATAAAGTTTGACGTTCAATACTGGTGTTGTGAACAAAAATGAAAAGAAATCGTAAGATATCAAATCGAATCGGTAGACAATTGAGTTATCGTAAGGATCCTGAATCGACCCCCTGATCTGATCAGAAGACTGCAGGGATTTAATTATGGGCACTTTTCCTGGGACCAACATATACCTTAGTATATTTAAGGATATCTTTAGGACACATCTAAGGACGCATTCAAATTGAGCTGCAGTGACGCGTTAGTGCGCACTTATTTTTAATTAAAAAACTTCTAAGTAGTTTATTCTGCTGATAACTCTAAAATTGAGTACTAGTAGAATGAAATCTTACGTGCTTTTATTTATATATATACATAATACACTATTTCTTCCACTTCTATAAAATATTACATATCCTCGATACCTCCCACGTAAGTTGTTGCAAGTCAAAAAACCATTACCATCCTTTCAAAGGTGAGGCGTTACTTCACACCGGGACAGTTGCTTCAGCTGTACCGAGCACAAGTCTGGTCGTGTACGGAGTACTGCTGCCACCTATGGGATGGCTCTGCGAAAGACCAACTGGCCACCTTGGATTCAATCGACAAGCGTGTCAGGAGGCTTATATAGGTGACTCGGAATTAGAAGAGGCGAAGCTACAGAGCCTTGAACACCGCCGTAACGTTGCCTTCTTATCGGTATTCTACTGGATATATCACGGAGAGCGTGCGATGGAATTGCATAATTTGATTCCGCCTTCCCCTTTCCATCATCAGGAGACTAGACGTGGTCTGGGATTCCACCCCTATATTGTGAATATTCCCAGGATTCGCATAAAGCTTTTCGCTTCCACATTTACATGGCGAGCGCCTAGAGAGTGGAATTTCCTACCTGCGGACTTATTCCCCGAACGCTTTAACATGGACCTTTTCAAGGCGAGAGTGAATAGGCATTATTTAGGTGTGCATGCTGCATCGTCGACCTCCTTATCACTTTCCATCAGGTGAGGTGGAGGTCAAATGCGCACTTATTTTTTATAATAAAAAAAAACTTATGTAGGAGGTATCGATCTATAAACAGAATCCGTGTAGACAATGTTGTTTGAAATTCATGCGGCGAATTATGTTTTGTACTACACTTGGCAACACGTAGCATCGAGCACGCTAACTAGTGTAATTCACCCCTTAGTTGCCAAACGAAATAAAAAAGGTGGAGAATTCAATGTTAAATCAAATGACGATTAATATTATTTCTACGATTATGTATTGATTATTATACCTATATTCAATATTGTTTATTAAAGGCCAACGTATAAGCTTCATACTAAGCATATACAGTGTTATTGTAAAATATTAACAACCTGCCAGGTCTGTATTAATAGCATCGTAAACAACAAGTTTTGTTAAATGACTTTTTACAACACGGCGTTTCCGAGGACGGTCACCGGACACCCGCGTTGCGTCATACGTCGCAGTCCGTACGGGTAAATAAATAAAGTTTTATCGTATTATTATGTATGATAGATAGCCCATAAAGTATCTATAATAAATTTAACGAAAATAAACTTTCAATCCAGCTCTTAGATTTTCGCGATAGTTACACATAGGAAATGGAACTATTTTTCCGGATTTAAACCAACGTTTCGGGCCCTTTACAGGTCCCATGGTCACGGTTGACAGAGGTGGTAAAGTATTTAGTAATAGCCATAACTGGTTGATGACTGTACCATATCAGTCAATCGTGACCATGGGACCTGTAAAGGGCCCAAAACGTTGGTTTGTTTGAAAACAACAAATATACGTGATTTAAATCCGGAATAATAGTTTTATTTCCTATAAACTTTCTAGTTTTTCTTGTACTGACATTTTTTAGTTCTGTATTTGGTAGGCGATCCACACCCCCGCTCCTGCGTTTTGCATGTTATGTCATTTACGCTAGAGCTTTCTTTTGGTTACCGCACAGACTTATCATCGTTAAGAGCGATCTATTTAAATATTGTATTCTTGTACGAAAGTATAATCTGATAAGTTATTAAACGTCGTGGAAAAAAGTTGTTGTTGTATGATGGTCATAATAAAGTTTTGTGAGGTTGTTAGTATTCCGCAAAGAACCCTGCATAAAACGGGAATAAATAATAAACAATATCATATTGTTGTTTTCATTTTATGATTTAGAGGAATAGACAAAAATCTACTTGGTAAGTGTTACTTGACAACATTTAATTATGATTTTGAAAAAATAAATGTAGGAACTAATTATGGTACAATAAAAAAAACCTGATCTACATCAGGTTTTATCCAATCCATCCTTCTGGATGGCAGTTGCTTCCGTCAATGAAAAAGCTGAGAAGAAGCGGTGCCTGCCTCTTGGGCATGACTTTTCTTCTGACAGCTAATTAACAGCTGCCAACTTAATACTTTATTATTATGCCAATAGATGACACCTTAAATGTTCAATGAATGCCATCTGTTGAGCATAGCAGGAAACATTCACGCAATGAGATAACACAAGCACTCCAAATGCTGGCAACCACTTAACGCCTCCGGGTCAGTTTCGGGTGAATTTTTCTCCTAGCAAATGTATATACCGTTCTTTCCTGAGATATTGAGAATATTATGTACTCCTTTTATTTTTATTAACATGTAAATACTTGTTATTTAAATAAATACAATAAAATACCACGAAACTCTAGATCTGAAGTGAAAAGGTATACACTTTTTATGGTATGATATCAAGTCATGTGACGAATCAATTGTGCGCCTGGTGTGCAAAGTATGAGGCGACTGATGCGGACGTAGGACGCAAAAGAGGTTTATCGGGAACATAGCGAGTGGAGGATCGTGGTCTCTGCCTACTTCAGTGGGATGAATATTCAATTTTGATCAATATACTAGTAATAATGAAAACTTGTTAAGTAACATTAACCGACAATATGTGAAATCATTAAAATCAGTTTACATAATTATTAACAGACTTTAAAAAAGGAGGAGGTTCTCAATTCGTTTGTTTTTTGTATGTGTGTGTATGTTACGGAATTACTCCGGCGATTGTGAACCGATTTCGATGATTCTTGCTTTGTTGGAAAGAGGGTACGTCATTATTGGTCCCGTTTGAATTTGAAGAAAATATTAATAAAGGGTGGCAAACTAGGGGATGAATCCGGTTTCGCGCACTTTCCGGTAGCCGAGTGTCAACATTTTAGTTTCAGTTTGTATGTACATACATATAAGCAAAGTTTGAAGTCGTTTCCTTTTTGTTTTAATAAAAATTACTTTTTAATTACATATAAAACTATGTCATGTTAAGGCCATACATCTCACAGACTTAGAAACATTATTCCCTTTCCCTTTTTAATGGTTAATATCACTGTAGGACCATATCCACCAGTGGTATTGTTGGGAATAAAGATCACATCACGAATAGCTGCCACTACACAACGCCATTGTACCAATTCCGACATCACCAACTTATATGTGATATAACAAAAACGGTACTAACGGTATGACTTTGAAAAGCGTCAAATTTTTTATCAAAATTTCAAGTACATATAAGATGATGATGATCAGTTTTAACATGTTGTTTTCGTTGAAATTTTTCTTCAATATAAAGTCGAAAGAACTATTATTAGTTCATCTGTCTATAGTAAAGTTTGCTTATGGCACGGGTGTCAACTTACATTGGTCAAATATTAGACCAATTGGTCTTCATACGTCATAATTCTGTGAATTTTTAATGATGCATTCTCCATTAGATACCATAGTACCTTCAAACAGAGACCTCATTTTCGTCGTTGAGGTGTATGGAGTTGTCATTCATGGCGAGCTTGAGCAAGGTCTTCTTGATCCTGAGCGCAGGTAGTCGCACCGATGGGTTTTGATGCCAGCATTCTTGCATTAACTTCGCTATGCCTACCATTGTCTGGAATAGCAGAAAAACGATAAAGGTGATTATATTAAAATAATCTAGGATGATCCCTGTGATTGTTCATAAAAATCTACACGATATATTATTGTAACGACGTGGATTAATTTAATAACTTTAATAGCCTCACTCTTAAATGAATAGCTTTTGCTTAAGCAAAATTAAATTAAAGTAGAAATGACACCAAATCTGTGTTTATTTGTGAGAAATGCACGAAACAACATTATTATTTTTCTAAAAATCATAATTATTTTACGACATTGTTCAAAGGTTACTTCGCAACACTGTATCTGTTAGAGATGAGATATATCGATAAAAAAAAGATTTCGATAATTTAATGAATAAATAAATAGTGCGGGTATTAATTCTTAAAGTATTAGTTTTAATCATATGCAATGAATTAACAAGTGAATGTTGCTAGTTTTTTTAAACTTTATAAAACTTTATATAAACAATCACAAATTACACCCAAACTCACGAGAGAAATAAATGTAGGCCATACAAATATTTCTTCCGGCCCGGAAATCGAACCCGGGATCGCTGTTTGGCAGACAAGAAGACAACAATAGTAACCGTTCGGCCACTGAGGCAGTTAGCTAAATTAATGGTCGTAAGTTAGTTAAATTAATGATTTATTATTATGATAAATCGGTGCCTTACTTTCTCAAACTCGTGTTTTTGTTTATTTATTGTATTTATTACATTTAAAAGTATTAAAAAACAAAACATTCCAGTATAACATAAACTTAACTAAGTTTTTCTGTATACCGCTCATTCGTTGTACAAAAATATTTCTATGTGTAGTGTGCGCGTTCGTACTCCTTCGTGTTGACATTTCGTGGTGTGCGTGAGTTCGGTAATATAGGGTGTCAATAAACTTAAAATTTTGTACATCCTACTGTTGAACACGGATATAATATATTAATTCTAATATAATATAATATAATATAATATAATACAATATAAAATAATAAGTATAATAAAAACTTTTTCGTAAGTGTTATATGGAGTTAGTATGCATAATATTGTTAATTAAAGTTGAACAGGTATAATATTTCTTATAAAGATAGTCTTATAAAGAGTGGTTATTCTGGAGATGGCAAAGCTTTCTGTTTATTTTAAATTTCTTATCAAGGGGGTTAACTTGGATACATTACTTTATGAATAGGTAAAAGCTAGTGTGTAGTGAAATCAGTTAACAATATTTGTACATAGAATCCAATTTTTGCATTTCAATAACTGCGTTTTAAGATACGAGTTTGAGAAAGGAAGGCGACGAAATGTCAAAATTATTAATAACAAAGATCGAACACTTGGAAAAGTTTTTTCGATCGATCCGGCTGGATTCGAACCAGCCCCCTCTGCCTCTGCCAATTACAGAAAAAGTAACGCCTGAACGCATGAACGGCAAGTTCGGAGTACGTACGGGGTGCGGGTCGTCGGGCGGGTCGGGGCGCGCGCCGTCCACGCACACGATCTTGCGCATCTCCTCGAAGCTGGGGTCGGCGGGCACGAGGTCGGCGAAGGGCGCGCGGTACTCCCGCGCCGGGAACACGCGCCGGGCCACCTCCCACGCCACCAGCCCCAGCGCGTACAGGTCGCACTTGCGGAAGGCCTCGAAGCACGACAGGTCGATGCTGCGGACAAGAGCGATCAGGACCCCGACTCGGAACTCTTCGATGTCGTAACCGAATCGTTCGATCGCAGCGTTTGCGGAGGTAGTCAGTGAAACAGATTATAAGAAAAATGAAAATCCTTTCATACGCATTTGTAAGACTTTAAACAAACAAGACTCTCTTTAAAATAACAAGAGATTTGCATATTACATTCTTATTTTGTAAACAATAGGACGTTCGGTAACTTTCATTCGATAACTGTGTTCTGTATAACGTTTGTAGCCTTTGCCGGTCGAGAAGTTCGAGTAATCGTACGGGTGTGACAGTTTGACGTTCGATTCGGGTGTTGTGAATAAAAATGAAAAGAAACCGTACGATATCAAATCGAATCTCAACTCACACATTCATCGTTCGAAACACTACAAAACATCGCGTCGAAACGCCATTTAAACTGTTTGAAAACCATTCTGCCAAATCATTACGGTGACAACTGCGCTCCGATCACACCACCGAATGGAACAGCCCCCATTGTTAGAGATATTGTCTTTATTACAATAAATACAGAAAATTTTTGGAAATCGGAGACGTACATACAGGTCAGTTGTTGGCGCTGTACTATTTCAGCTTTCTAATTTGTGATTTCAACGCAAATGAGAATTGATTTTTAAAAGTGATATAAAGCCCATTTGCGTGGCGACTTGCCAGGGATGGATGGTCCTTATTTCGTCTCTATTTCTGATTATATACTCGACGCTACAAAATCATGATATTGATTGGTCGTAGTTTCAAATTTGAAAAGAAATAACAAATTGTGAATTGCTAATATAATTTAAACGTTACCCTGTTGGCACACCGTTGAAAGTTCAACACCATCAATACCTATTATTGCAAGTTATGACGTTTTGACATTATATTGAAATTACAATCAATGTGCTGCCATCTAGCTGTTAATTGCTGAACGACGACGAATTGGTGTTATTAATTTAGTTCTCCAAACAAGAAGCGACCATATTACAAGGGTATAAGCTTTACTTACGTGTCTTGTAACAAAAAAAAATATTTCAATAAACAGAAAATTTAATGATATGAAATACCACCACGGGTACTCTCATTTTTGTACTCCAAAACAGCATAATAAGGCATTTTTCTAGGACTTTACAGATTTTGCACGAAAGAATGACAAAACCATACCATACAAAGCGAAAATGGCTGACTGCGGTCTGATAGGTCTTACGATACCTTTAGTTGGCACGCTTCAGACGCTCACTAACCACTTCTACTGTATTCATTATTCTGTGGCTACAACATACGCGACCGACTTCTTCCTTTACTGTAGTCTGTCTTTTGAAAATAAAGTGAAATGACAATTCATTGCGGGAAAGTGTTGCCCACTTGCGAGCAGCTAGTGATTTCTGTCGATAAATATTCCATCGCCCATCGACTGAATGTTGCTCGTGTTTATTTTTTGTTTTTATATATTATAAACACCAGGCACAACACTTGTCCCTCAAGCGAGCTTTAAATTGCAAAACACCCTGGAGACATACACACATCAAAAAAAGTTTGCGATCACTTCGAAAAACTGAAATCTTTTTTGTTACTGTAGATTATATTATGATTTTTTCTTCTTTTTAGATTCTTTATTTAAAAATAAATTAGAACATAAAACAATGACCCCGTTCAATTGTTTTTTCATATAAAAAGGCTTTCAGTCCTAGCTTACGCTCATTCAGAAATCTGATTTAGTCAATTATAAGCGATTCAAGATATTTTTCGCGGAAAGTTGTGATTGAAAAAATGCCAAGAGGATTATCAGAGGTTTTACGAGCTAGAATAGTAACTTTGAGGGAAGAAGGATACACCACGAGAGTAATAGCACGCAGACTTGCTATATCCCAATCCTGTGTCGTGGCTACGTTGCAGAGGTATCACGGAATGGGGAATTTAGCTGACCGACCCCGCAGCGGTCGCCCAACTGTTTTGACAGCTGCCCAAAAGCGCTATATTAGATTGCTGGCAGCCCGTGATCCAACAATCAACGCCACTAAAATAAAAGCAGAAGTCAGGGCCGCCTCTGGGCTTGAAGTTAGCACGCAGACCGTTCGCAATTGCTTGCACCAGGCTGGATTACGAGCACGGAGGTCTTGGCGAGCTCCGCTCAATTCCAGGCAACGTCAACAACGAAGATTGCAGTGGGCTAGACTTCGGCAAAATGAAGAAGGTGAGGACGAAAACATTTGGCAAAACTGTCTCTTCGTTGACGAATCCCGAATCAGCACTCATCCAGATAACCGACGTGTCCGTGTCTGGAGAAGACCAGGCGACCGTGAAAGACAAAGAACTGCCACTGGAACAGTTCAGCAAGGCGGAAAATCGGTGTCCTTTTGGGGTGGCATTATGATTGGAGCTAGAACGCCTTTGATCCCGTATCGGGGCTTCATGACAGCAGACATGTACAAAGCAGTTGCTATTGATGATATCGTCAGACCATTCCGAGTAAACCATGGGCACCAATTTGTACTGGTCGATGATAATGCGCCCGCACATCGAGCTCAACGAGTCAATGCTGCTCTTCAAGAATACGATATCACACGATTAGACTGGCCTGCCGGCTCGCCCGACTTAAACCCAATAGAGCACGCGTGGGATGCTCTTAAACGAGCAGTATGGAACCGTGAGCCACGTCCCCAGACAGTTCCAGAGCTCAGGGAAGCCGCTATTGAAGAATGGGATAGGTTACCCCAGGAAATGCTGGATAACTTGATCCTCAGCATGCCCAGGAGGATCTTCGCATGTATTCGAGCCAGGGGAGGAGTTATTGAATTCACACCTTTTAATAATAAATTGTTGTTTAAGTTTAATTAAACAGTCTTTTTCTTTCTATGAAATTTCTATCACTATTACATTATGATTAATGGCTCAATTTTTTAAAATAAATAATAAAAAATAGTTTTATATTTTAATTTCAAACAGGGTATTCCTATTTAAAGAAAGCATACAACATAGATTTTTTCTTGATAAAGTTAAATTTAAAGAATTATAGGAGCTTATGCTATTGATCGCAAACTTTTTTTGATGTGTGTATGTTGACAAGTCCCATGTGCGTACAACCGGAACGTATCGCATTACTGCTTGGCGACAGAAAAAGGTAAGGCGACAGTACTTTTCTAGCCGAACTCTTTCACAAGAAGCTCTATTGCTACTCAATTACAACGTGTACTAACGTGCTATCTATACTCCGTCCAACCTTCCAACCTTTTCAACTCATCCGAAGAACAGAGTCTGGGGGGGCTACCCTCGATCTCCGTCCGAAACAATTACTGTCAAATAAGTAATCGACCCATCCTACGTAAAGTATCGTATGTCGAAATTGCCAAGTTTACAGGGGAGCGTTTTCAAGTTCTGAATTCACTGAAAGAGTGATCACCATAGATCATCTAACCGATATCTAGGATTTTATAATACTCTATGTAAGTAATGAGCTTTGCCGAATAAAAGTGAGAAATGCTAAAGTCACGTGTTATGTTCGTTTCAGTGACTTCAGAACTTTAAAACGCTTCTCTGTAAACTTGGCAATTTCGACATACGATATTTTACGTCGGAGGGGTCGTAATATTCGACAAAATTAAAAGACAAGTATCCAGTTTGAAGCTTCGTTCGCATCACGCGTCTTTTCATTTGGTCAAGTATTGCTTATTTGGCAGTAATTGTTTCGGACGGATGTCGGACGGAGATCGAGAGTAGACCCCCTGATGTGATTATACTACGAAAATATGATAAATGCATAATCTCGTTATTTAAAATAACGCCTATCTATAGGTGTTTCCATAATTTTTATATCTTATTTCGTTTCAGACATATGAAATCGAACACTGGTCGATCTGATATCCACAGCGAAGAGCAACGAACGAAATATAGAATGGTCTGAGAATAAGCAGTCTCGCACATAGGCCTTTGTTCTACGGATGAGTCGATTTATTATACTTTTGACAGTTCGAATTATAATCAATTGGTGATGTCCTAATGGGTTTCGGATTCGATTTATTTATGATAAAATTTTTATCGTGAACAAATGCGGGTTAAAAAAATAAGGTATTCCCTGATTGGAATCGTGATGTTGCCTTTGACAATTTATGAGTTCAAGAATTAATAATAATGTTACTGGGGATTCAAGTTCCCGTTCATATGGAGAAGAATCCGACGATTCATTATAATAAACAATAAGAATTTATTATAATTATTTATAATTTATTTCATTATAATTTATTAGACAGGTACCAAAATTTATCAATTTGAATAATCTTCGTTACATAATCTGTTGGCTAGATAAATATCGGATTGCATTTATTTGTCTATGGTTATATGTCAATAATTATGGAATTTCGGAGGCATGCACGTCATAAATCAAATAAATGCTTGGACGGAGTATAATACACTTTTTTTCTACTCTTGCACTGTAATCTGTCAATTATAATTTCATAAACCACATCATACAGGCGCTCTTTTTAGTTCTGAATCAAAATTGTATTATCTATGACATCCGCCACTAAGCTGAAAAATTTCATTATAGTTCACACAGAACTAGGAGTTTCAAAAAAAGAACGTCGTATTTTTGCTAATTAAAATAACAATTGGGATGTTACTCAAACGTTATACTGCCTCCTGCTTGGTTAAAGTGGCCTAAAAGTCTTGTAATAGAGTCATAAATCTTTATAAAAAACATTATTGGTTAAAACAAGGTTAAAATATATGCGGTATTTGGCCAGTTCTATCTCTTTGATTTTTAGTTTTATAGCGCTTGTTTGGTTTTTGCTTTTTTGCTTTGTCCACCCTAATAAATGGGTTAATTTTTACTAAAAAAAACTGCATTTGTTGTCATAGATTGTTAAGAAATACGTTAAATATTCGTTCTGTATCATTATATTATTACCTCGTAGAAAATGTATTGTATGCAATCATTACATAATTAGATCTTAAAATCTCGTACTTACTCGTGGCCTAAACACGGTGCTCGACAAAGCCTCGTGGCCTAAACACGGTACTCGACAAGGCCTTGTGGCCAAACACGGTACCCGACAAGGCCTCGTGGCCTAAACACGGCACCCGACAAGGCCTCGTGGCCTAAATGCGGTGCTCACTATGCAACGATTGCATTACCCCCTTAGTGAAAGGCGAGAGACTGGCACCGACCTCTGGTCCAGCATCTCCGGGCTCATGTAGCGCTTGGTGCCCTGGCGCGGGTTGTGCGTGAGGCGCTGCGCCACGTGCTGGCGCGTCACGGCCAGCCCGAAGTCGGCGATGCAGCACTCGCCGTTCACCTTCACCAGGATGTTCTTGGACTTGATGTCGCGGTGCGCGATGGCCGGCTTGCCCTGCAAGGTCACCACTCTTTATATATTCGTTTCGCTACTTAGTAATGTACGGGACTGTGCCCGTATTGTGCACAGTCCGGCTATTTGTCAGACGGAGTAAAATTACAGTTCATTGCGTAAAAGTGTTGTCAGACGATAAATCGCCCCTCCTACGTAAAGTATCGTATGTCGAAATTGCCAAGTACACATGGGAACGTTTTAAAGTTCTGAATTCACTGAAAGAGTGATCATCTAATAGATCATCTAACCGATGTCTAGGATTTATAATACTCTATGTAAGTAACGGGCTTTGCCGAATAAAACTGAGAAATGCTAAAGTGACTTTAGTTTAGTGTTACGCTCATTTCAGTGAATTCAAAACTTGAAAACGCCCCGTAAACTTGGCAATTTCAACATACGATACTTTACGTGGGAAGGGTCGATTTAAATTAGTTACTATATTTCATTATATAGTCGTTTCATTGCATATGTCGCACCGGCAATCGCGAAGCGGCGTAATTAGGAAAAGTAGTCGATTTTAGGAAAGAGACAAAGTAGATTTAAAATAGTACTAAAAGAACCGACCTCAAAAGTCATTCATCTCCTAGTTGTTAAGGTGTGTTGTGTCTCCTAGTAGTTAAGGGTGGCACCCTTAGACTTAGAGGTGGAATATTTTCTTCAACTTTTAATGGGACCACTACTAAGGTACCCTCTTTCCAACAAAAAAGAGCCATCAAAATCGGTTATACACATACATATATACATACATAAAAAAAACAGTACAATTGATAACTTCCTCCTTTTTTTAAAGTCGGTAAAGGCTGGTGCTAAAAATGAAAATATTGTATGATATACGTAAATCAGTACACAAGAGGTTATATTGTGTACATTTTTATGAACTGTCAGAGGGATAATCCGAGGAAATAACGAGGAATCATCTATAAATGGGAGCCTTCAAGGATGTTTCCATATTAATGCAGATATTTTTTGTGGATAAATATATTTTCACGAATCGTCCAGAAATGGTAATGTTATAATTGTAATACAAACACCGAACACTTAGAAAATATTCCAGTCATGGCCTGGACTGCTAGTCAAGTTACCTAACCGGGTGACGAAATACTTTCATAGATTTCTCATAGATGGCGCTACGGCTAAAAAGTCGTTGAAAATCAAATGCAAAGATCCGACAAACAAGCATATAGAAAAATTCGTGAGGTCGCTGGTTCGTTCCGTGGCTTAGTTGGCATACTGTCTGACATGGTTTGCTCGAAGAAGTCGTTTCAAATCCGGCTGACTCGAAGGAATTTTTTCTAAGTGTTCGATCTTTGTATTAATAATTATAACAAACAAGTGGAATAATTTCACAAAAAAGAATTGAATATCAATTCATTTAATGGTAATGTTACCTGTGTTCCGTGAATGTCGGTGTGTAAGTGCAGAAGCCCGTTGACGGTGGACAGAAGAATTACCATCATTTGATGCCGAGTAAGGGTGGTTCGGTTAAGATGCTCGTACAGCGACCCCAGAGGGTGGAAATGCGTTATCAACCAGAGCTGAAAAAGCAAGACATTATGTTTCAGTATCTCACATGTTTTAGATCATTTTGGACCTCAACGTTAAGAAATTAAGGTTTATCTTATATTCTCCAACTTAAGAGAGAAAGAGACCAACTTTTTTTCTTGTATCTTACATTAACCCTATGTGGTTACAGTAAGGTTAAATGTGTTTGTGGTGCAATTATCTATACTCTAGCCAAATTCGATGTAGAATGTTTAATAACAAAACGTTGCTAGGCAACCAATGATGGCATAGGAAAAGAACATTTTTTCAATGCTCATTATTAAGAGTTGCTCTGCCCACGGCCTGCTCCCTTAATTGGAATTTAAAAAAGGTAAGTAAGTAATTGGGTTATGTAGAAGTAATTTTACCTTTTTAATTTTATAAATTAAATTGTACAGTAAGTTATTCAATAAAATTTCTATCAACATTTTACCTTTAAAGTTACCTAGACAATTATTATAAAATTTACAAAATACCTATTGATACGTGTGATTTAGGAATAAAAATAAGTGTTTGCGTCCTATTAATATTTACTGCTAGATGATAGGTAATGGTAGATGAAAAGAAACAAAATTGTAAGATTTTATTTGATATTAATTTACACATTTAAAATCATCCAGCATCTATTTCCGATTCTGAACTTGAGAGAACTCGAATGTTTGCAATCTCTCTCTTCAAATCAAAAAGTCACTAGGGATGGCACAGTTTTACAAATAATTAATTACTGGTCATTTTTATGTCATTTTTAGGTGATTTGAAACTTCTGTTGAATAACATTCATTATAAACATGGCTTCAAGATTTAGTATTATCCACAATCTAGTTGAATTTCGTAGGAAATTATTGAAATTGTATAGTAACTGTGAAAGAGTTTGAGATGAAAACCCTAAAAATCATACGTTTTTGTTTGTTGACATTTATTCTACATCGAATTTGGCTAGAGTATAGAAACAGAATACGCTGAGTGCATTTTTCAAAATCAGTATAATATAGGAAATATGCTCTACTAAATAAAATATAAATTTCTTTGAATGAAAAATAAATTACATATCGCCTTTTGATGTGACCATAGGTTTTTATTAAAAAGAACATAAGGAATCACATTTATTTATGAAATAAAAAGGCTTAACTTAGTGATGTTTCAGTTTTTTGTCCAATCTTAATAATGAAGTGAATATTACGAAAAATGATAAGGATTTGTCGGTGCCAATTCTGGTCGTAAAATTGTTTCATAAAATTAAAAAGGTCTATAGGTTTATGTTTAGATCTCGTGTTTCTGGCAGGTTTTTGAAGCGAATCAAGCGTTTATTGAACTGGTTCGATTGATTTTGGTAAAAAATATATACAAAAACAATACATTACCATATTTAAAAAGAAATATGTCATAATGCATTAATCGGTTTTCGTTCTGACGCTCCTCACCATAGTCTGATCAAAAATCGATAACTTTATTATTAATTTTTTAAAATTTCGACGGACTGCACACTCGAATGCGATATTTAGGTTATGAGACATTGTTAATATATAATGCCAACAAATTGGCATACTTCGTTCAACTTTAGTAAACTCGACTTAGGTTTTTTTAAGTATGGTGCATTCTGCCTTCGGTAGTTTATGCCGTCACGGGTCATGCAATGTGTAACTTATGTTGTTAACAATATCGTTTACCGTTTTTAATCTATAAAGTTAATTTTTTAAAGAGCATTTCGTGGGAAGTGCTAAATCGAAATGGTTTCTATTAAAAACTTGTTTAATGTCAGTTAAGGCAGTTATTCACGAGTAAAACGATGATCGCAAGCAATTTGATTCCTGGTGCGACCAATTTAGGAGAAAAAGAAACGAACCTTTCTAAACTGGCTTTGTTGCTGTGGTATTCATAGTAGAAGGAATTTCCTAGTATAAGATCAAGCAATTGGTGGAGAAATAGAAAAAAAGAAATACATATAGGCTATACAAATATTTCTTCCGACCCGGGAATCAAACCCGGGACCTCTGCGTGGCAATCCGGCATAGTAACCGTCCGGTCACGGAGGCAGTTGTATATTATTAGTAAAGGAGGATCAGGACAATGGCCTTGCCCACAATTGAGTTCAGAGTTTTGGTAAAATTACAGGCAAACTTATGTCTCAGGGTGACGGGCGCAATGGCAGTGCCCCTCAGATCTTTGCGCCGAGTGGTATTGGAACTATTATTGGACAGGCGTGTCACTTACCACCAGACGCACGACTCGTTCGTCCCGTCACTGGGTGTCATAAAAAAGTTAAAGAATGCAAGACCGACCTGCGTGCAGCTGTTCCGGCTCGTCATGTCGCTGCCGATGTAGCCCACGATGTTGTCGTGCCGCAGCAGCACGGTGCTGAAGACCTCCGTCTCGCGGCGCCACGAGGCCTCGTCTCGTGAGAAGAAGATTTTCACGGCCACGCTGTCCGCGTACCACGAGCCGCGCCACACCTCGCCGTAGCGGCCCTGGGGACAGCGATAGGGGTCTCGAGTTCAAAGAGTCTATCCTCCTGAGGTCCCGTGTACACCAAAATGTACATAACACTATTCCTATGCTCAAGTAAATGCTCAGTTTACATTGTAATGAAATGGCATACTTTGCCGTTATACATTCTATACATATAATAGTCCGCTAGGATGACAGACGCATTGGCAGTGCTCCTAAGGTCTTTGCAATTTTAAGCTCTGAGTGGCACTGCAACTGGTGTGGATAGGCGAGTCGCTTATGCTTATAAAAAAAATTTAGAAGACCTGTGTTGAACAGTGGACATACCTTCCCGACGCAGTCGATGAGCGACACCTGCTTGGCCAGCGTGCGCTGCACCATCAGCGGCAGCCCTGAACCGGATCCTGAGCTCACTGAACACTCCAGGTACTCCCGCAACGTCGAGTCCCCTGCGGGTACAGCCTTCAGCCCGTTGCCGTTGCCCGTTTGGGATCCGTCCATGCCTGCGAAATACATCGATAGCTTTCTAGAATAACGGCTTATCTCAAAATCTCCTGTTTATGTATATAATAATAATCAGAGATCGGAATTGGTGGAGTTTTTTACCTAAACTTCGAGAAACATAGACAGAAAATGGAGACTGCCTTACGTCAACATTTTTAGGTCCTATTTATGAGCAATTTTTGCACATCTTCTGACACGTGTAAGTAGTGAATAGGCAGGTTTGGGCGCGCCTTTAGTGTGCATATCTATAAAAGATAGGTCTAATGTCTAGTGATTCCAAGACTGGATCGATTAAGATTTTGTAACGATGGGGCACGGTATGGTCCCTTACAAAAAATACACTAAACTATTAAATTTATGGCTAAATATGATATGACAATATTTAATCAGGATAATAGGATCTTTGATTGGCATTTTTTTAAGAGAGGTATCGTGAAAAAAATCCAATGTCCTCAATATCGCTGATCCGACCCACTGTGTCGCAAAGTTAAGATAAATATAGTCTACCTACCTGTTCCCAATTACGTCACTTTTTAATGTAGATACTTAAGTAATTTCCCGAATCCCGAACAGGTCTAGCACCTAAAGATATTGTCGTAAGGCAGTCTCCATTTTCTGTCTATGTTCCTAGAATTTTAGGTAAAAAAACTGTACCTATTCCGATCCCTCTAATAATAATATATCTTTATTTATCTCCACAATACAAATCAAAGTAACATTACAGTAGAGAACATATTATTACATACGCTTATCCAGTCTCCCACAATACGAGTAATGTATTGTGGGAGACTGGAGCCCAAACTAAGCAGAGCTTGTAATATGGGTCTCCCGGCACCCAACCTCTAGGATGTCATGTTAGTAGTATTAACTATAAGAGTATTGAGTAAATATATAATTTACACCAAAATAATAACTAAAAAAATTGTGTATGTGTGTGTGTGTGTGTGTGTGTGTGTATGCGTGTGTGTATTTGACGTTGAGAGATTTGTACAGAGTTGTATTGCAAAAGATATCTAGTCAAGTTTAATCAGCAAGGTGGTTTAAAAACAGCTGCACAATATGTAAATTGCTAAGTCGACGAATCGTATACAGGCACACGTTGTCACGCGACTGTTTTAAACAATAAGAAGCTTTGTATGTATTTTCACAATAAAATTTAGCACATTCTGAGTGCTGTTGTGTAAAGAGGCAAAATAAAACCTAGTTTAGTTTAAATAAATAAAATCGGCATTATTTGACAAATTAAATTAGAAACAATTTAAAAATTATATAAATACTTATAAATAAAAAACAGCAACAGAAAACAAAGAAGGAAACATATTATATTAAATAAAAAATATTAAATAGTTAAATAAGCAACAAAAAGCTTAAATTTGTGTTCAATGATATCCAATTATTCTTTGTGAAATTGCTCAACTAGTTTGTTATAATTACTAATACAAAGATCGAACACTTAAAAAAAATTTCCAGGCAGGGCTGGTAGCTGTAAAGTTACCTAACTGGGTGACGGAACACTTTCATAGATTTCTCAAAGATGGCGCTACGGCTAAAAAGTCGTTGAAAACCAAATACAAAGATCCGACAAACAAGCACATAGAGAAATTCGTGAAGTCAGCTGGTTCATTTCGTGGCTTAGTTGGCATACCGTCTGACACGGTTTTCTAGAAGACGTCAGTTCGAATCCGACCGGATCGGAGGATTTTTTTATTTTTTCTTAAATTATAACAAAAAACTTATTAATTGTTAAAAATAAAGGAACCGACTTCAAACTTTATTATCGGTTACCCAAAAGTGGTATTATATTTACTTTAAGTTTAAATGGGATCACTACTGAGGACTGAGACGTATGCTAATTACTAATTTCACCATAAAAGAATTCAAATTCACATTGTGGCGGGTACTCAACTGGCTTATATTCCTACATATAAAATGTTTTTGTTGCTATATATTCTGATCTGTAATCTGTTGTTATACGTGAGGCGCACTATAAGTTTTGCTCGTTCCGCAAAGAAAACCATCCTACGAATTTTCACGAGTTAAATCCATGGCGATGTAGACAACCAATTTCTAAAAAGACGTCACAAAGTTCCATTTTCAAATGTGGCAATTACTTTTTAAATATTGTTTATTTAAATGGCCAGTTCCGGAAACGTATAGTGCGCCCCATGTAGGTACCTTATCCAATATAATAAAAAGAAATATGATTTGATAATGTACATACCTTCATAATAGGCGCTGGTGACGTGGGGGCTGTACACATTACTGGAGAAGTAGTGCGAGTCGGGGCCCAGTTTGTGGTGAGCCGCACGGGAAACGCGAAGTCTGCAATTTGGATTTGGGACAATATTATTACTTTGATTCTCAAAGTATAATTGATCTATTGTAAATGTGCACTTTTTACGTTTTATATACATATATTCTTCCTGCCCTTATCCAACGCTAGGTGAGGTCGGCACAACATGTATTTTTCTTCTACTCTCCCCTAACAGCCGTCATTTCCATACTCACACCTTTCTTACCCATGTCATCTTTCACACAATCCATCCATCTTTTCTTTGGCCTTCCTTTCCCCTTAAATCCCTCCACATTCATACCAAACACTCTTCTCGTCACATGACATTCTTCCCTCTGCATGACATTTTCAACCACGCTAGGTAACCTATTACTTCTCATCTTTTCCGTCCTTGGCGCCACTTTCAAATTTGCCCTGATGTACTCTGATGTATTGTTCCTGATGTCTGAGGTCTGATGTATTGACGTGTGTTAAAAATATATTATATAATATAATTCCACAAGAGGTCATAAGCAATATCCTCGAAAGCATGCCTAGAAGAATACAAGCTGTGATTTTGGCAAGAGGAGGCCGCAACAATCATTAAATTGTTACCATTTTTCCTTTACATTATTAAAAAAAAACAAAAATCTTTTAAGTTTTTATTTTACTTCACGAGTAGTATTTTACTGACCACTGACACTAGAACGACATTTTCTAATTGAATTAATCGAAATTAATAGAAAAAAATTTGCTCAAACCATTTTCTGTATATTCATTTTTAAGATTCTGAGGATACTAGTTAGTTAAATAATAAAATTTACTGCAGGTGACAGTCAAATATTTATTTGATCCCCTATTTTCATAATTGTCAAATCTTGGTTCCGCGCTCCATTCAGTAGGTTAGGTTAGTGTATGAAAAAGCATGCCAGAACCGAATTTGCTCGCGTTTCCGAACATGGTTTCAGGTTTTTTAATGCTCATTTGTCTGTCACAGGGATCATCCTAGATTATTTTTAGTACAGTAATGAAACTGTAATGAAATCAAGTGAGAACTTCTCCACAAATTACATTAAACGTTCTTTGTTTCTTATGTGACCACAGTAAAGCTGAGAAAATTGTCGTAAATAATTTTTGATTTTCTGACTGGGTATAATAACGACGCATCTGCACAACTACAACCTTTGAAAGATTCTACGAGTTGATAACATTTTGCCTTATTATTTTCACATATTTTTTGCTTATCACCACTGGTTATTTAGTTCATAGCAAGTTTCTCGATTTTCTTTGAAATAATTTCTAATACAGTAATACCCCGCTTTGCGAGGGATGCGTTCCGGACAAAATCGCGTTAAGCTAAATTCGCTTAAAACTGGGTTGTTCTTTTTTTTTGTGTGGCCCGGCTGGTGCAATAGTTTTTTGGTCGCCCTAGGGCCCTAGGGTCTCTAACATGGCCTAACGACGGCTACCATGGATAGAAGGGGAATAAAAAGCTAAATATTGCTATTCGAACGAACCCATCTTTTCTAAAACTTTATATCCTTCTCCAAACTCAGGCTCGCTTTTTTTCTTAGCCGGTGGCGTCATTGTTCGTAAAAATTATCTTTTACAATTCCCTTGATAACAAACAGTACCAATGTGGTTACAAATTAACTACCTACAAAAAAACTAACTACCAACAAAGAATCACTTCTGATAATGCAATTTTAGTAACTGAGACGCTGTTGAAAATCGCGTTACAACGTTTTTGCTGTTGATGCACCACACCGCGTTATCCTCTAGGCGATAGCTGAAAATCAGTGCGTTGCTTTTGGGCAACACCCGTGAGCTATGGCCTGTTTGGCTTGCTGCAGCGTTCACAACTTGCTTTTAATTAATTAGCAGATATATGTTCTTTATTATGTCTATTTATTTGATTTCTTACCTTTTTGTTATTTTATGTTTTGTTTTGCGTTTCTTTGTTTTTTTTTCGTTACTTCTTGTTTCATATTCTTGTGGAAAGTCGATAAACGTGTAGTGTCTATCAACTTATCTATTACTGTACCGCTTTCGCTGGTGCCTTACCTGTGCATCCTTCTGAGCACGAAGACGGCCACGACGGCCATGAGAGCCACGGCACCCAGCCCCCCGGCCACGCCGGCCCACGTGTGCCAGGCCTGCGCCGCCAGCGGCTCCACGGCCGCGTCGCCGGGCAGCGACGGAAAGTCCCCCGCGTTGCACAGGTTCCCGCGGCAGCAGCTCACGTTGTGCGTGCCGCCCGCTTGGCGTTTGCGTACGCTGCAATAGGACGTTACCGTGAGTCTGCTGTTATGATTAAATGTTTTATACCCGATATACAGGGTGCCTCACGTTTGCCCGACACGGAGGGAGATTACTATAAATATTAAAAATAAGTAATTAATAAAAAAATAGAAATCTTTTACTCTCGGACACCACATACAGTAATTAGTAGTAGTAAGCTTATATTATATTAGTAAGCATTGATCACAGGGAATGCATTACAAATTTAAATCTACAAAATCATAATCTCAGCAAGTACTAAAAAAAAAAAGTAAAAAGTAATTCGTCCGTTAGTTTGCCACCTTTAGAGGTGGAATATTTTATTCTAATTCAAATGGGACCAGTACTGAGGTACCCTCTATCCAGCCAACAAAGAATCATCAAGAGTTATCGCATATAGATTAAAATATAAACTGAATTTCTAAACAATAATTAAATGAAATAAAAATTCAAATTAACAAATAATATTAATATTGCATAGGGTATTTTTATTTTGCGAAACCCGTGACAATATAAAAAAGTATTCCCATATTGACCCGACCGGCCTCGCTAAGCAGTAATGCTACTGTGGTGAATTTACAGGCACATGAGACTTGTCAACTTATGTCTCAGGGCGACGGGCGCAGTGGCAGTGCCCCTCAGATCTTTGCGATTTAAAGCTCTGAGTGGCATTGCAACTGTTATGAACAGGCGTGTCGCTTACCATCAGGCGCACGATTTGTTCGTCCCGTGACAAGGTAGCATATAAAAAAAACATACCCAGTTTGATGAGATGCAGTGCGGCATGTGAAATGGTAATGCTCGTCTTGATTGCTGCAGCCGCGGGAGTAGGTCACGACGTCGCCATCACGCACGCTAGACTTGAAGCAGAATAACGCCCCGTCACACACGGTCACGCGTGACGAGTTGTCGCAGTTCTCGTGCTCGCAGTTGTAGCATTGGTAACGGGGTGAACTGCCAGAGGAAATTATTAATTAATTTCATTACAATAGGTGTTTACGTGCAGTTGTGTAACTGTCAAGTGACCTGGACCCCGATTCGGAACTCTTCGATATTTTAACCGAATCGCTCGATTGGATATCGTTCTCGAATCGAAGGGCGCTTTCCTAGCTATTCTAAACATTCCGAAGTAAACGTACGATTCGGATTCGGCTATGTCATCGTTATCCAACAGCGTTTACGGAGTTAGCCGGTGAAATAGATTATAAGAAAATTGAAAACGAAATGAAAATATTTTTTTAAGACTCTGACTGCCTAAAATTTAGGAATGCATTAATCTTGCATTAAAATAAATTAATAAAATTGAACAAAATCCAGACTTTATTTAAAATAATAAGATATTTCCATATTACATTATTGCTTCGTAAACAATAGGACGTTCGGTAACATTCATTCGATAACGTTTTTATTTTTATTTATGTAGTTTATTATATTTCTTTGTCATTCTCTCTTGCCCGCTTACAACCTTAGTTTTCAATGCTCTGGGTTGGCTGGAAGATATCTCTTTTAGGAATTTGCTCACTAGCTGTTAATCTAATATTTCTGTTGTATTTATTTGGTGCAATAAAAAATATATATAAAAATCATAGTAAAATAAAACAAATATGGTAACTCCACACAGTAACGTGGTTTGTACGTGTGCGCGCCCGCCGCGTGCTTTGTACGGACGGACACATTCGTGGAATCTCGCAATGCACTCGCGTTGCACAGTGATGGTCGTTACACGCGCCTTTCACTATTATGGGATTGTGAGCGTCCATACTAGAGTTGTTGCAGATGCAGATTTTAGGTACAGAAAAACCCGCGTAAAATATACATCCTTACTGAATCTATCTATACACATGAAAAAAGCCTTCTATTTTCTTTGGTATTGTAATAAAATATAATTCAGATTTTGTGACATTTGTTAACAATTTTCAGACTCTTGTTTTACCCTTCTTAGACTATGCGGATTCCCGCTATTTTATTATCTTTTCGGTTTCAATTCCGGTTTCTATTATCACTCCTTCACTGTTCATGCGGTCAGGCTTTGGAATCTGTTCACGAAAATACAACGTTGGCTACTTTTGAATTGAGAGTTAAGGAGCATTATTTATCTACTGTTCCATCCATTTTATAGGTATTTTATTATGAAATATGTATCTAGTTTATAGTAGTTTAATGTTATTAATATTGTATTATATAGTTTTGTTTTTTAAGCCCGTTATTGTAGTTATTTTGTCCTGTATTTAAGTCTCCAGGAAGAAATTTCTTATAGAAATAAGCAGTACCTTTTGTTTGTGTTATCCTTTTATGAAATGTAATCTGTGATTTTCCTGTGCAATATTTCAATTTCCAATTAAAACAATCAATCTGCCTAGACTAAGCGTTGTGGAATTTTATCAAAGTTATATGATAAAAACAACACTACCGTCCGCTGTGAAGTGACAAAATATTTTTTTGAGATATCATAAAAAATCATAAAACAGTTTTAGAATATATTCATATTATTTGATGATATTTCAGCTATGTATCGTTAGGGTAAGTTCCGATGAGTAAGTAAGATAATTTTGTGCTCTATTTTTTGCTATTTAAAATGGTTATTTGACCATTTTTCACTTCGCCGCGTTTTGGTTAGCGGACGGCAGAACAGTTGAACTTGCAGTTTCGGTTTACACTCCGTTTCTAGAAGGATTATAATTTATTCCAGCATGCCTTTAGGCCATGACACGACTCGAAAATGCGCAACGACACGATATGCACATAAGGCACAAGTATTTACGTAGTTTACTTAATTTTCACTTCGGGACGCACACGTCCGTCACTTACTCGACGAGGGCCCATTGAAAACCAGCGCCACAGCCTAGTCTTGTTTGTGACTTTAGCTGAATGGGATTCTTTTGCATACACCACAGCCGAACACATGTCAGTATAGTGTATAAGTCTGGTAAATATAAGACAAAAAATTCTGTCGTTTCCCTCCATTTATGTTACTATAGTGTTTAGTACAGTATTTGTAAGAACTATGCTGTGGATCAGGGACTCAAGTACAATGCTAAAAAAAGTGAGCTCGAGTGTTCATATTTAAATACCTGGATCACTGGGTGACCGACGATCAGTCGGGTCTGGTGGACATTGAAAGGGGAGCCCTCGTTTATACGTTGGAGTAAAGAGGTCAAGTTAACGGTTTTAAAGCATGCTGTCAAACCTTCTACACATGTAGCCTTTGGGTGAAGTAGTAAGGTGACCCTAAACACTTTGAGGGTGCAGTATAATAATGCGTTTAGAATGTTAACGGGACTGCCGCGGCATTGTAGCGCATCAGGTAATTTCACGATTTTTATGAGATCGATTCAAATGTATACGATCCGCTCCGTGGATCGATTTTGAGGAATATGATCTATTACGATCTAAAAAATCGATACAAAGCAAAAAATCGTGCATCCCTTTGCGAAATTTGTTCTCCAACAATATCAACGTGTCGGGACCTTTTACTGGTCTAGCGGTCACAGCTGACTGAGATAGTAAAGTCGTCAACCAGTGTCTAATATTAATGCGAACCTTGTATGTCTAATATTAATGCAAAAATTGTATATTTATTATTATACAATTCTTATTCAGTTAACTTATTTTATGCTATTTCACAGTTGTTTTCGTAATACAACAAGTATTTAAATGGTACTGAATGAAAAACATATTCTAGTTAACGGATTATATCGAGCGCTGCACCTTGGGGTATCGTGCCCAGGGTTTTGGCATTTTTTCACTTTAAGTAACAAAGACTTGCTCTAGTAACTATAAGTTTTCTGGCCACTTGAGATTTTAATGTGTACTGAAAGCAACATAGCGAGGAGTTACTCCTGTGGTCTCCAAGGACAAGATTACACAGCAAACAACACAAATCAGGTATTTGATGACTAATTATATGGTATGGTGGGGTACAATACGCTAGAAGTGCGCAGAAACTTAGCGTTAATAGTGTACCTGTGGAAAATATTCCGAGGTATACTACATAATGCAATGCTGTTAGGAATATTAGGATTGTGTGTTCCTGATAAGTACGTGGAGCGACGTCGCCGGCCGCCGCTGTTACTGGTGCCACATGGGAGGACCAATCTATTGGCTGAGTGTCCCTTGACGCGCGCGTTGAGGACACTGAATAAAATAGCAAATACGATCGACCTATTCCACTGTTCTCTGAGTGAATTCACGAAGATAGCGCTTTACATATTATGTTATAGTCAGATATAGGTAGTTATAGTTATTGCTGGTCTATTGTATTGGGTATAACCTGTAAAAATAGATTAAGTGTGGAAATAAACAAATAAATAAAATTTATATTAATTTATTATAGCTTAAGAGACGATACTACCTCAGTTCGAATTAAATTTTTTCCTATAGTCCATTTGTTTAGGTACTTACTAAATGTAAACAATCTTGATACATCTTTTTATTGAAAGACATGCTTTACAAATCAATAGGTATAAAAATAGGCATGCAATTTCATATGAAGCTAAGTATTTGTATTTTGTATTTGAAGGTAAGAGAAAATCATTTTATAAATGTATATTTCATTAAATAGACATCTCAAGATTGTTTACATTTATTTAAGTACCTAAACAGATGGACTATAAATATTTTTTTTTATAAACGAAGTTAAAGCCCTTTCAAAAATGTATATTGTATACTATAAGTGTTCTATTTAGTTCAGTTGATATAAAAAAATATAATTGGTATATGTAAAGTACGTACTGAGTGAAGCGGTTTTCTTGTAAAATTTCGAGGTAAGCTTGTGTATTTTTTCTATCGTGAATTATTTCACGCATCGTGTTTTCACACCGTATCAGTGCATATCCTCAATTTTACTATATATTTTTTCCAGAGTGATTGATTCAACGCCTTTTTGAGGCATCGGCGTGCACCACTGGTGGGGCACGGACAACTCGCCTATCAGGCGGAGTGTACCGCCGGCGGTGAAGTACGAAATCCACCTTGAGAGCACTCTGAGTAATAGTCAAATGTAGGAGGAGTTTGATATAGTGTAAGTAAAACAAATTAATACCAAATCTATATTAACGAACTAGGCACCACAAAAGACAAAGCTTTAATTTATGAGACGGTGGATTACCACCGGTGATCAAATGAGAATCTGTCCCAAAAGACAATAAATTATGGTAATTTTTTTAAAGTGTTAAAATCTAACAAAACGGACGTTGACATCAATACGGTCACTAAACTACGGTCAACTTTCGGAAAATGGCGTTTAAAGATTATGAAAATAAGTTTATAGGTAAAAAAAAGCACGATATACGGACGTCGGGTCCGCGCTAAAAGGTGTCCGAACTTATAGGGCGTTAAAATCGTATACAGAGCGTCATTCACGCTTTAGTCTTCGTTTGTTCGACTGACAGCGAAGCAAGCAAAATTAGACAGTACTGCGATGACATTACAATTTGAATTCAACGTTTTAGCTTTTTCATATTCCTTTACATGTCACTACGTTTAAATAGGTTGACTTGGGACATTTTTTTCATGGTTTTTGTATTAGACCCATTTATTTGTAAGTCAATGATATTCGTTTAGTGATGGTACTGTTTTCAACGTGCGACATGCATTGTACATGTTATTTACGTTATATCTAGAAAGTCTAATTTAGTTTAGGCACAACAGCAAGTTACCTTTTATGGAATTTTTTCCTCCTTATTTTGAGTGGCATGTACAGAAGAAAAATACAAATTAATTAAACTATTTAAAAAAAAAGGACAGATATAACACAACGTATTTGAAAATAAAACTGCAATAATAATAATAACGTACACACTCAACATAGCCCCGCACTAGGGAAACCCTGGGTCGCGGGTGCCATGGATACACACATAAGACAACCACAAATTATACCCAAACTCACAAGAGAAATAAATGTAGGCCATGCAAATATTTCTCCCGACCCGGGAATCGAACCTGGGATCTCTGCGTGGCAGTCCGGCGTAGTAACCGTTCGGCCACGGAGGCAGTTGCAAACTAATATGACCCACGAATAAAACCCGGCAGGCTTAACATGAAGACAAAATCTCTACTGATGGCATCTATGAACATACTTGGTACTTGGTGCAACGGGCTGGTATCCGCAACTCGACGACAAGGCGCCTATTTTGCGTGTGTTATTTAATTGTTTAATCTATGAACATTACCGTAAGTACTACAATATGCGCTGTACCCATTGACTTACAATTATATGGACGTCGGGTCCGCGCTAAAAAGTGTCCGAACTTATAGGGCGTTAAAATCGTATACAGAGCGTCATTCACGCTTTAGTTTTCGTTTGTTCGACTGACAGCGAAGCAAGCAAAATTAGACAGTACTGCGATGACATTACAATCTAATTTAAATTTTTATATTCCTTTACATGTCACTACGTTTAAATAGATTGTCTTGGGACATTTTTTTCGTGGTTTGTGTATTAGACCCGTCGTCCATTTATTTGTAAGTCAATGGCTGTACCTTAATTGCATATTTTTGTGATATCGAGTGACATGTTGAATATGTCGCGCGCCGGGTGGTATGCGATACGCCTATAGTAGTCGCAATGTTACTCAAGGCTTTAAATCACACAGACCTGAGCATAGAACACTGCCACTGCACACATGAGCATCAGTAGATCTTCTTGTGAAAGGGTTTGTCCAGGGAAGTAGTTATCTATTTCTGCCGCCAAGTAGTAATGTCAGTATTACTGTGTTCCGGTTCTGAAGGGTAAGGGTGCTGGTGAACTTACAGACACATGGGACTTGTCAACTTATGTCTCAGGGTGACGGGCGTAGTGCCCCTCAGATCTTTGCAATTTAAAGCTCTAAGTGGCACTGCACCTGTTATGGACAGGCGTGTAGCTTACCGTGTAATCCCGTCACTTGGTGTTATAAAAAAAACACATTACCCTTCAACACCGGAACGCAGTAATGCTAATATTACTGTTTAAAAGTACGATGGTTGAATTCCCTGGGCAAAACTTTTAGCAAGTTCTACTGCTACAAAACGATACTACCGTTTCTCATCTATCCACTTATTATTTTTATGAAATTCACAATGGTTTGTTTTTAGCCAGAAATATAAACATAAAACGAAGAAAAGTAATAATAAAATTAAAAATAATAATAAAAGAAGTTAACACTTAATAAAATTCAAACAGATAAATCACAATACTATCTAACCAAATATGTATACAAAATCTTCGAGGCACTACGTGTTGGCTCCGACAAAACGTATTGAAACCACCCAACATTAAATGTACTGTGTAATAAATAACGCATAGAATGATAGTTTCATATCAAACGAACTGTCACAAGTGAGGCAAAAATCAAATTCATGTAGGCTAGTTTTAGTAGTAGGTTAATTTGCGGTTTTAGTGAATATTTATATAAAAGTTGAAACGCGTTACTTCCTTGTGGAATGTGATGTTAGTATCTATTTTATGTTTGTCTGACGTAAGGGTATTTTTACACTCATTTACCGCACATTTCGTCATTTTTAGCTAAAATTCTTGAGCTGTTCGCGGTGCAAGTTGACCTTGAGCACTGACGGCCCGCCCGCTCGTGTAGGCCCTTTGGGAGCGCTTCAATATGCCTCACTTAGCGTGTGCGGACTAGGTTTCTATGCGTTATTATTCTAAGCCTGTGCCTATCACCGCGCCCTGATAGGTTCCGTCCGAACACACTCCATGAGCAAATGATAGTTAATTATTTCAATTATTACACAGCTTTAGTGAAATGTGCGCAATTTGTACTTTGAATAAGTCACCGAACTTTCCATTGGTTAAAATAATCGCGTGACAATATCGGGCCGGTATGTCAGCGTCGTTTTTGCGCTCCAGACACGCCTCAAATGTTTTAAACAGTCATTCTGGTGAATAAGATAGCCCATTATTATTTTTTACACTACGCACAATAAAAACATAGCCACATGTGATCATACGTCCTTGTGATTTTATGACATGAAAGTCACGGGAAAGTGACGGGGCAAACAAGTCGTGCGTCTGGTGTCAAGCGACACGCCTGTCCAAAACAGTTGCAGTGCCACCAGAGCTGTAAATCGCAAAGATCTGAAAGATACTGCTGTCACTGCGCCTGCCATCCTGAGACATAAGTTGACAAGTCCCACGTGCCTGCAATTTCATAAGCATGCTTGCTCTTCAAAACCGGGCACTGTACATGCTAACATTACTGCTTGACGCCAGAATTAGCTGTGGTAGCAAATCTCTTAAGTCTTTCTCCTGAAAAGTTGTTATTTTGGAGATGTGACTCTTGTAAAAATTGTAATTTACATAGTGTACATAGATGCCCTCAATAAATCTATGGGTTGTAAAAAGTTGAAAAAATGACCTCACGAAAGTTATCTCTACAAGCGCTAGTACTAGTAAATAATAGTGCCTTAGTCAGTGGAGAGTAAAACATTTTCTTCTTGAGAGCCACCTATTTTCGGTAATGTAAAGCCTGCAGATCTCTCAAAGTATATTTTACCCAACATTACAATGGCAACACAACGAGAATAACTCTAATTTTTTATCTCTGATAACATAAATACCATTCAGAAGAGAAAATGATATTCAAAACTGTCATGTTTCATATTTTTTTGGTGTCGCATCTTTTCTACAACTAAATACTGATTTAAATGGGTATCCATTATGAAACAAACCGATTTCTATCAAAGTTAACCCTTAAATCAAATGTTGCTACATTCTTAAGTTCTAAACATATAATGGCAAAATATTTATCACCAAAAGCAAACACGAAGTTCACTTAATAAATATCAATGAAGTCTGTTATATGTTAGGCACATTCCCCTGAGAACAATAACCAAAATAATTGCACTTTTAAATGCCAATACAGACAACTTTAAGATACTAAAGGGGTTAGCTTAATCAATAATCATACATGGAAGTTGGTATTTACCTGGGGTAAAAATCTATCTTATTATTTGTATCATCTGTAACTTGATTGCGCTGGGCTGGTGCAGGCATGCTTGAAGAATCGTCCTGGTCCACTTCGAGACCTGGTAGTCCAGCTGAAAAGACAATGTCTTCTGGTTTAAACAGGTATTGGGAAGCTGAGAGCTTGCTAGTGGAGTAGAGAAAGATCATGAACTAACGAGTTACTTCTTTAGCTAGTGGTAGTTGTAATGGTTAATTTTAACTGCTTATTTGCAGTTTAACTGCCTCCGGGGCCGATCAATACCATGCCGGACTGCCACACAGAGGTGTCAGGTTCGATTCCCGGTCCGGGAAAAATATTTCTGTGGCCTACATTTATTTCTCTCGCGAGTTTGGGTGTAATTTGTGGTTGTCTATATATGTGTCTATGGTGTATGTGTACATTAATATAATCAGCATTTATGCACTATGCTGAAGACTCACAGTGATCAAACTGTTGAAGTTGTTATTTTAATTGTTGATATTTAAATTTTATTTGTACATCCACTGCTGGAATATCAAGTGTGAAACCCTTATTTCCGAAAAGGTATAAACCTTCTAGAAAGCTTATAGAGCAAAGGAACCAAGATACTACAAGCTGTTCTGTTTGTCGCAAATCCTACGATGAGATCGCTCCTGACTAGACTAGAGGAAAGACTTTCATGGTGGCCTGACCAAGCAGTACAAAATCATGGTATGCTAAAAAAGACAGTCCTATCAGTTTTTAAAAAAAGTGTGAATTAAATGTAATGTTTATCATCAATACATAAATTAAAATTAATAAATAGACATCAGCAAAAGCTGCCTGTCGATAATCGAATAAATAAATATTTACATCCTTTCAATCAATTTAACTCAGTTTCCCAAAATGGTCTGGACCAACACTAGTGGGCGCTGGAGAGTCCTAAGGGGGCGGTAAGGGGTGGGAAGATTTGTGGTTGATGCTGTCCAGTGAGTGCTACCGAATTTTTTTCATTGTGATTCTTTAGTGTTAGTTGGTGTAGAAATTTTTAATCCTGTTTAGGTGGCCGGTGAGCCATAAAAAAGTTTGGGAACCTATGGTTTAACTGATGGGTCCTACCGAAAACGTTTAAATAAATGAATTTTAAGCACAGTAAATAATATGGGTCAAATATGCAAAGTAAATAAACTTCCAAAATCAACAAACTAATGACGTCAATTCGTCATAGATGAAGCAATAGATACTTCCGCCTGCCTTGAAGATAGATATAGATAGACAAACTTCACAAAACTATTCCCTAAAAAAACAGCCTCATGTCTAGCAAATCAAATGAAAGAAAGTATTGTTTTATTACGATTTTAAGAACAGTTTAACATGCAATAACATTCCACAATGACGTAAATGTTGTTGTATATGCTGTACAAGACGTTTACAATTTATTATTATACAAAACAATAATAAAAACACGAGAATTGGGACGAATTATGAAAGCGATGTTGTTTACATATTAACCGAGGGGTTTAAGCACTAAAATGTTGTGCAAATGCACAGAAAATCGTGGCAGTCATTATGAGATAGATAGTGTGATAAAAACTCACCGCAACAGGCATTTATAAGCAAAAATGTAAACAAGTATCCAACAATGACAACGTCCGCCATTCTTCGCTCATCATAACAATATACTGCGGAGATCATGTGCCGTACCCGTATAGAAATAAGAATATTGTGTGGTAAACGTAACAATATAATTTATAGAAAATTAAGAATTAAATTATTAATCACGCATCAAAGTTCTGCAAAATTCAGTAAATGAAAAATTAATAAAAAAAATACTGCGTTGTCTACTTCCGCGCATCAGTGACCAAAGATCTGGAAACGTCTTTTTAAATATCGAGGGAAGCACAGATTTTTCATACATACATGCTCCAAAAATTAGTTAATGATTATAAATACTCCAAACTTTTATTATTGGTTCATAACATCTTTTATTCGCTATTAAGTATATTAAAATTATTTTACGTAAATATTTCATTTTTGAGATTCCTTTCAGAAAATGAAAACTGAGCGTAAACCTTAGAAGGTGGAAAACAACACGAAGATAAATTTTAGAAAGAGATGGACTAATACGGAATATCAATTTTCTATTTTTTCTACTTGACAATTTTACTCATCAACCGAAACAAGAAATCGTGTGAAATTCGAAAAACGGTCGTTTGCTTTTGTTTAGTTTTTGTGTCTTTATTTTAAGATTATTATTTAGCAAATAAATGCGAATTCTACTATAAAGTCCTGTAAATAGTGCACATAATTTAGTGTTTATCATTCGAGTGTGTACAGGTGTACAAAAATGCCGAGGACAAAGCGTCCTGTGAAGAAAACTGAAAAGGCGAGTGAAAGTGGTGAAGCTAGTGAATTTTTGAAGAAATTGAGCAAAACAGGTGTGTTGAAAACACTATTCCACTTTCCCCTCAAGACTCAAGAATATTCAAATCAAGTCTGAGAATCGTATTCTAGAACAGTGAGCACTGAAAATCATACTCAAGTCCTTGCCATTAGGGTCGTATTTCCAGTGCTTGAAATCATACTCAAGTCTGCTCAAATCCTGACTTGAGCATTGAGTAGAGTTCTGGAATACCAATCTGGGGGTCGTATTCTAGAACTCTACTCAATGCTCAAGTCAGGATTGCACTGGAAACACAAGCACTGGAAATACGACCCCAATGGCAGGGACTTGAGTATGATTTCGAGTGCTTTAAACCATGCTCAAGTCGGGATTGCACTGGAAACACAAGCACTGGAAATACGACCCTAATGGCAGGGACTTGAGTATGATTTCGAGTGCTTTAAACCATATTCAAATCCTGACTTGAGCATTGAGTAGAGTTCTAGAATACGACTCTGGCCGTATTCAAGTCAGGATTGCACTGGAAACACAAGCACTGGAAATACGACCCTAATGGCAGGGACTTGAGTATGATTTTCAGTGCTCACTGCAATACTCAAGTCCTGACTTGAGTATTGAGTAGAGTTCTAGAATACGACCCGACGACGTGTTTTTGTAGATGTATTACGACTCATGCACCTGCGGACAGAAATATTAGAAGTTTTGTTAATTGTAACTGTTTTACTATTATATTTACGTGTTATGTATCGTTAAACTATTTGTAAGTGGTAGTCAACCTTTACTTAGAAATACATATTCTGTTTTTTAGCTGAAGAACAAAAGAAACGCATAGATGAGCGAGTGCAGATGGAAGTGCGGAACTTGGAGCTTGCCTTCAAGATTTTAGTTGGCTCCATAAGTAAGGAGCACTTGAACATGACAGTCGGGCAATTGGTATGACCATTCAGCATTTTCTACAATTTCAATGAATCAAAAGTACAAATTAGGAGTCCTGTATAACGAGAGCAGAGTTAACTGCAGTAGTAGAAGCTCTACTCTTTGCTAGTTATAGTATTGGTATGCTATGATGGCCGTTTTGACTTTTGTCTGCATGAAATTTCGTATTAATGTCTTAACTATGTTGAAGCAGCTAATTGCTGTACATTTTCAATAGTGACTTGCAGTAAAATTTGGAATGTCTGATTTTACGACACAACTCTGCATTAGTTGTTCGTAATTCGAAATTTTAGAATATGAAATTTAATACGATCATCACGTATGGGATCGCTGGCCAGCACAACTTCCATTACCGGCAAACTTGCATCAAAGCTCAATGCAAAGAAAGCAGTTTCGAATTGACTATATGTTAATCTATTTTTTATTGATGCTTTAACCACCTTGATTGACTATGTCAGCCTCATGGGAGGAATGCTGAGTTCCCTACTCAAGGGACATGTTCAAAAACTTGTATAAGTTTAGAGCTCCAACAATTATGTGACGATAATAGTAGCTATAATAATAGCTAACAATTAATTTGTCCATTGCATAAACTTACATTCCCAAACATTGTACCCCTCAGGGTTATATTACGGTTACATTCCACCAACACATGATACAGATTCTCTATTTTATTGCAAGTACTGCACAATGGGGTTGATTTAAAACCCATCATATGAAAGAATTTATTAGTTGGAATGTGACCAGAACGCAGTCCAAAAGCAGATATAAGATATTTCTTTGCTAAGTTAACAGAATGAAATCAGGGTACCCATTGTGGATTACTCTGGATGGTTCTGTACCATATTCCAAGGCCTTTATCCACCAACTGGTCTCTGAAATGGACAATATATTAAATTAACATTTTTATTTTAGTTTTATTAAAACTTTTTAATCATCTACCCCTTGCAATACTAGTTATAAATCTAAAAACTTATAGATGTGACTCATTTTGGATTATATTTTTTTCCATAATGAATGAATTTGCCATTTAATGCATTCACATAAATTCACATGATATGATAACCAGCTGAAGACACTGTTTGATTGATTAGGTGTTAGTAAAGGTCTTGAGTTCATGCCTAAGTGTCATAAACATTTATTAACAAGTAGAGTCAAAGTCAAAGAAGCATTTATTCTATAGGTAAAATAAATTACACTTGATAATGTCACATTTAAGCTGCTGCTCATTCAATATGCTGACTTCCCTGAGAAGAATGAGCAAGAAACTCTAGGAATTGCTCTTTTCAAATAAACTCAAATGTTATGGAATACACTTTGAATCAAATTTGTGTGGAATCTGGAGCCATGTCATTTTCCGTACATCTTTATCTAACATGTAGTCTTCAATTTTGTAATATGAGTTTTCAATCAAAATATTTTTAATGTATTTTTAAACTTAGGAAATTTTGAAAATGTAATGCCAAATATATGAATAGTAAAGCTCCTTGTGAAAGACTCTGTTCAAGTAGGTAAAGGGTGTTAGTGAAAGTACAGGCACATGGTGTTCGTCGACTTTATGCCTCAGAATGAAGGGCACTGTTGCAGTGCCCCTGTGATCTTTGCAATTGAAGCACTCGGCTGCACTGCCACTGTTATTAATTCCTCCTAGTCCCTTATCGCACAACTTGTTCAATTGATATTAATAAAAAAAAAATGTATACTTTTTATTTTTAACATCACATAATGTTGCTTCAATCCCAAAGTAAGTAACTAAAGCATATGCGTTTTGGCAATTGGAAAGAACGACTGTACCACACACCCGAGAAAATATAGAAAAGTTGCGTTTTCTACATTGACCTGGCCAGGGTTCGAATACGACGTGATGGCGACACCATGAAAACACGACGTTATTTTAGTAGCAACAGGTTTAAATGACTAATTCCTAACTTAATTCTATGTTACAGAAAAATGAACTGTATCTCAAAGAAGTAACCAACACAAGAAGGAGTCGGAATTTAACACGCTCAGCATCAGACGATGGTAACAGCATTGTTCCTTTTTAGTTCTTCCATTAGTAACTTATTTAGATACATTTACATACCCATTCTTTCCATTACAATTAGTTCAATATTCTACTTATTAGGCTGGTTTCAGAGCAGTGCGGATTTATCTGCGGACCGTGTGCGCGGATCACCAGAGCGGAGTAACACGTGTGGCGTTAGAACATCGTTTTATAGCGACGCGGATGGCTCTGTACGGACCACGCTCCGCACAAGCCACCCACGCGTTCATTGTAGGCGACTGTCTGCCGTGAATATCCGCACTAAATTATATACTCGATTCAGAGCACTGCGGATTCTACGCGTGCGGATGGCCCGCAGGCAGACAGTCCGTACGGACCGTACGTACAGCTGTGAAACCAGCCTTAGATCTACTTAAAATAAATTTCTTGATAAAAACTATTTCTTTTGAACACTGTTGCTTTATCTTTTCCTCTCGGTCACTGAAATTGCGTTCTAGTGCCGACGGGAGTCAAGTTTACGGGCCGCGGGGATGGTAAACCCATGTTGCATAGAATTCACGCTCATAAAACTTGCGTTTACCATCTGCAAAGTCGTCTCACTTCTGACTAACTGCCGTATTTGACATTTTTAACTTGACCTTAAGGGAGTCACCACAGTTATGGACTTTGAACCGGCTTGACCCGGTCTTTTTACGCTCGCTTTTTTTTACTTTTATTAGATGTACGTAACGTTTCTTCTGACCGGTTTAATGCAACTTCGTGGTGACTCTTACTAAGCTTTAAAAAATTTAATATTTTTCTTGCGTCAGAACCACAGAAGAAAAAAGAACACTGGAAGTATTTACTATCAGAACCGCTGTCGCCAAAACTCACGCATTCATAATTTGCAACAAACAAATGAAATCTTGATAATGATTGGTCGCAGTTTCTAATTTAAAAAGAAATAACAAATTCTGGACTCTTGATATAATTTAAACTTTGCACTGTTGGAATATCGTTCAAAAGTTTCAATTTTGTATTGAAATTTCAAAGAACGTGCTGCCATCTAGCGATCAATAGCTAAACGACAACGAATACGAGATGTTTACTTAGTAAAAAGAAGCGACCGTATTGCAGCGGTGTAGGGTTCACTTTTGTGTCCTGTAACAAAAATTATAAACAGAAAAATGTATTAAAATTAAATAAAATAAAACTTAACGATGATATGAAACACAACCATGGATAATATTACAAGTACGCCTATCACTTTTGCACTCCAAAGTAGCGAAATATTTTTCGAGGGTTTGCGTGAGGTAATTGACACGACCATAACGTCAAAGCAAAAATGGCGGTTTGAGTTTAAGTATATGGAACTTCGCGTACTGCTGGCTGGCACATGTGTCACATAAACTAAGTTAGTGGAAGTGTTCTACTGTATTTATTGTACTGTGGTTAAAAC